TATAGGGGTTCTATAGGGGTTCTATAGGGGTTCTATAGGGGTTCTATAGGGGTTCTACAGGGGTTATATAGGGATTATATAGGGATTCTATAGGGGTTATATAGGGATTATAGGGTTCTATAGGGGTTATATAGGGATTATATAGGGATAATGGAAAAGAAAATGCAAACTACTATCTTCTTCAAGGGTTTAGGAATGCTACGGAACTTCAAGTATACGTGAAAAAACGGGTCAGCTTCACAAAACAGGGCTCCATGCTTACCCCAACTAGGGGCCGTACCTTACTTGGTACACCCAAGACTTCCTGGTTGTGAGTGCATCCCTATAGCAGCCCCTATATAACCTCCAGTAACATCAAGTCACATGTTCATTTCCATGCGCCTAATTCCCCACAAAAAGCCAGCAGGAATAACGCTTGTCCATTCTTGCACTCCGGAGTTCTAGGAGCATGAGGCTATGGGTATCCACACACAAAATTCCATGATCTCCTAAACCCTAAATCCTAAACCCTCAACCTTAAATCCTGTACCCTAATCCCAAAACCCTAAATCTTAAATCCGAAGCCCTAATCCCTAAATCCTGAAGCCCAAACCCTAAATCTGAAATCCCAAGCCCTAAACCCCCCCCATGGAGCCAGGCAGGGGGCCTCTGGGCTTCCCCCGGGCGTCGCATAGGCTGAGCCTGCCAGGCCTGGGGCTTGAAGTGATCAAAAAGAATCCGATGCCTATGCCACCAGGGTAATATTATATTGGGGTTATATAGGGGTTATGCTGGGATAATGGAAAAGAAAATGGAAACTACTATTTAGGGTTTTGGGTTTTGGGTTTTAGAGCCTGTACCTGAACGCCCCCCCTTCGCCATCAAAGAAGGGCTAACTAAGGGCTGTCTGTGGATTATGTATAATGTGGGATCATGATCCCATAGCAGACCTGTATTAACTCATCAACATCCCGGGCAGGAAAGAGCGCAACTCTCGCGTTTCGTACGACGCCCTACCCGGCCCCTAAGCCTGAATCCTTCTATCCCTAAAACCGTACACCCTATATAACCCCACTGTAGTTAGTAGTTTCCATTTTAATTTCCATTATCCCTATATAGCACCAATATACTATAGTAGTTTCCATGTTCATTTCCATTATCCCTTAGACCCATCCCAGTTTCCCATTTCAGTTTACATCCTCTCGTCATCTGACTCTCCACTCAGAGTGTCCCTGTCTCTGTTCCTTGCGAGTACAACCCTGCAGGAGGGAGACATGGCGGCCGCGATCGCAGCCGCCGTAACCCGGAATTTCTCCAATGTTTTTTTCAGTTTTGGGATCCTTGGGCTGAGGGATTCCAAGATTGAGGGATTCCAAGACTCACTGTTTGGGATTCAGGGTTTAGGGCTTAGGGCTCAGGATTCAATTAAGTCTTAGGGTTTGGGGGGTTAGGGCATACTCACGGTTTGGTGTCCATAGTTTTGAGTTTGCGGCAGCAGCCGGCCGTCTTGACACAGAAAAATTGTCATGTTTTGGAGAGCACTGCGCTTGTGTTGGTAGACAAATTTGCAGAAGCAGGAGCCGCAACGATGGATGCAGTAGCCGCCATAAGTCATAAGTGATCAAAGGCCGTGGATCTTCATCCCAAAGTCCTCAACCCTGATGCCTGACTTCTTAGCCACAGCAGACAGCATCATGAAAAACATTCAAAAGCCCGAAGCCATATAGACGGCCCTCAAAACCCCCAAGGCGTTATAACCAGCCATCGAAAGCACCACCAGGTTCGCCGCCGTGACGCTGCTGAAAGGGGCGCTGAAAGCGATTCACCGAAATCGGATAGCCCCTCTTTGTCGAGAGCAGCAACAGTCAAGAACAATCGACCCCAGGCCGGAGGAACTTGAAAGAATGGCCTCAGGGTTGTTGGTATTACTATTACTTTTACGGTTACTATTACTACTACTATTATTACTACTATTACTACTACTATTACTATTATTGGTATTAGGTCCCGGTTATAGATTGAATAGGGTTTGGCGTTTACAGAGGTGTTATGACTGCTCATCGGGCTGCCCCTGTGCCCTGAGAGCCAAAGCCTTCGCTGGCACGAATGGCATTGGTGGTTTGGGTCTTGGGAGGTACAGAAACCCGTTTTTGGTCATAACGGCTGACTTCCTGTTAAAGTTACAAATTACAGGGATATTTGGCATCACGGAGGGAGCGACGATCTTTGGAACATTCCTGCGACGCAGTAGCACGATTCACATAGGTTCATTTGTAAAGTCGCAGTAGCACCCGGCCTGCTTCTTCTAACCTGAAATGTTGGGCTTGGGCCCGCGGTTGGGAGTATTTTCCAGCTTTGGTGGGTGGAATCTATGTCAATTCCTAGGATAACGTTGTGCGCAGCATTTGTATGCTTTTTCGTCCTGGTTATGGATTCTCAGAACATCTGCCGTTGATTGTTCCAAGTATTGTGGTAGCATTGCTCATTCTTGTTTGCACCAGTGGTGTCTGGTTGCTAGTGTTGCATCATTGCCGTGATTACCCGAAGTGCAACCTTCCTGCGCAGTGTGCCCTGGCCACCAATAGCCTGGTTTTGGGGGCTGCGTGCCACCGTCGGCTTGGAGCAGAAAAGGTAACCCGAAACCGTCAGCCCTAAACCGTAGACCTGAAAGCCTAAGCCCAATCGAAACCTTCAGCAACCCTAAAGCAAATACCGTAGGTGGATCCCCCACCCAGTAATAGTGACTATAAGGGATAATAGGGATTATATTAGGGTCCTATCATATTCCTATTATACCACTATTACAGGGTGGGGGGTCCTCCTAACGTATACCTGAAACCCCACGTGTTGCAAGCCCACAGGCGGCTTTGGACTTGCCACCGCCTGGAACCGGCCAGTGGTCTAATTTTGGGTTTGGGGTTGGGGATTTAGGTGTTTAGGGTTTAGGGTGTATAGTAAAGGCTCTAGGGCCTAGGTTCTAGGATTTGAGGTGAGGGCTTAGGGGTTTAGAGATTTAGGGTCTAGGGTCAACAGTAGGGTTCTCGGCGTCTGGGATTTTGGGAGATTCAACCTCGATAGTTCCCTCTTAAGTAGATAGAATATGGGGTATATGGGGATCTTATTATGACATTGGTCAATTCCATTTTCTATCGACCTCAGGGGGACTATATCATACAGTGATCAATTTAGCATCTGGCCGTGCGTAAACAAATTTGTGCTGAGTTTTGTAGAGATCCTATGACCTGAGCAGCAAGAAAGCATGGAGTTCCCATGTGAGGGATGATGGCTTTTGGACATTCCTATGACACTCAGGGCTTATAGCGCCAGTGATTTGGGCCAAGTTCTGAAACATCCCAATAGGATACTTCTCGAAACAGGCTGTTTAAGTCCACCCAGACAGTACGCTGCTGACAAGAGAGATTCCCCCAAAAAGAGTGTGCCACACATCCAAGGCTTCTGGAAATACCAGCGGCAATCTGCCGAAACGTGCCCTTGGAGCTCGAAGGTATGGAATTTGCCTTGCTTGCTAGCTGAGTGTGGTTAGCTTCCTGCGGTTTCTCAAAAGAGGCTGGGTTCTGTTCTGGGGTGGGGTGATGTGGATGATCACAAGGCAGGCTTTCAGCGGCCCGTGACGAAACAAGGAGCGTACAGTTCGAATGAGAAACACGTGGAATCGCATTACCCCAATATTAATGACGCCCCCCACCCCGCAAAATTAAAGGGGTCCGAACTTGTCTTGTTCATACAAGGGGGTGGGGGGGGCATTTCATGAAAGAATCAGATACGGCTGCCTTTAAACTCCATGGAAAACGAATAGTTAATGGATTCCATCAATTGAAGTACATGAATTCCTAACTGAATATGTCGCGAGTTTATTAATCAGTTGGATACTCATAATTGATAGTTCCAGAACTCCCCTAATTCATCGCTAGGTGGCCCCTTGTAATGTCGTCTTGCCCTAGTTAAAGAAGCGCTCTTCCTGACTGTCAGGCCCCAGTATTAATATTAGGCGGGATGTGGTTTCTTGACTGGCCTTGGATTAGCTAGGAATGCAGCAATGGATCCTTACAGCAGTCCCTATATAACCCAGTATGTTTTTTCCATGTTCTTTTCCTTTCCTTCATTCCCAGCTAACCAAAGGCCAGTTGAGGGGAAGAGAGTGCAGCTAGCCGAGGGACCCCAGAGAAGAAGATCATACAGAGGTCACAGTTAATCACATGAGCTGTAGTCTAAACCCCTTAAAGTGGAGTTATATAGGGATTATATAGCGGACTACTATAGGGGTTATTAAAGGGGTACTAGGAGTTTAGACTACAGCTCACATAAGCCTCTCCCCCTAATTCAGATAACATGAATACACACGATAACATATTGATCGTAGTGCCACTGTAGAAAGGAGGAATGAATAACAAGACCAGTAGCAATACGCTTTAAGGCAGGTCTGTAGGGAGGGTAAACCACAACAAGCCCAAAACCCTGAAGCCTGAAGGAGTGCCTTTGAAACAATAGTTCCTTGGAAGGTACATGGGCATTCGGGTACAACTGTCTGTGGCAGCACTGATCGCTGGCAACTTTATCATGAACGTCGTCGAGCCGCTTGTCATATATACTGAATGCCTTGCATCCCGATAGCAATTTTCTTGACGTACAGAATCCCACAAGTATTATCCCAAAGCCTACAGGATCGAGTCTCAAAGACAAATTCTTTTGATTCACTGAACTACCACCACACATCAATGATGGAGTCTGTTGCCTAGCTTACGGCTGGGTACCTTGCAGAGGGGAGAAGGTGTTCAGGGGCACTTGCGAATGAAGCCACTGCATGTGACCGCCTCGCGCCTCGCACCCCCTCCCAAAAAATACGGCTTAGCGAGTTCCTTCAGTTCTTGCGTTTCTGGATACCTGCAATGGTGTGCCTTATATGCGTCCTGATTGTATTGCTACGTGCAGCCGGAGCCATTCCAATTCTGCAGCACTTGCATTTGCACAGGTCGTTCTGATGCTGGCATGCTGACACATGCCTTTAAATGGTGAATGGAATCGAGCTTGAAGACAATCGCGGCACAGTGGCACATGTGAGGAAATGGATAGATCCGGATGGCGACACCTACCCTGACATTTGGGTGCCTTGATTCGAAAGTGCAGAACATGAGGCTACCGCAACGTGCAGCCTGCCGTTGGATGCTCTCATGAGAAATATTGACATGGTGGCTAGCAAAGGTATTGGGTCGATCTCCACAAAAAGTTTCATGTTTCGTGCTCTATTTGCTAGTCGTAGCGTGGTCTACCAGAAGCGCATCCTTCGTAATACTGGGCTTGTCCCTAAGCCCTAAACCCTTAACTGCGACAGTTTTGTAATTCCAGTGCTGTTTGTCCTGCCAGGTTGGCTTCGACATCTTTTTCAATGTCGCTGGGCTCAAAATGGAGAGCATGTTTGGACAGACAGCGCAGAGCTATTGCAGCGCTACATGCGGAGAATATACAGCTGAAGAGAGATCAGCTCCTCAGTGAGAAAACCCAGCAAGGAAGACTAGGCCCACCAATCTTGTCACACATATTGTGTGGCATTTTGCTAGGTTCCCGCTGGAGGTCCTCCAGAAGGGCTTTGTTATGACAGGCTCACAAACTTCTTCTGGGGCCTTTGAAGACAAGAGGAGGCAGTTGACTTGTAAGAGGCTCTCATTTTGCTGGAGCGCTCGAAGACTTCAACATCTTTGGCCCCCTCGCTCCTCCACCATGCGCAGTTAGACCCCAATCTCCAAGAGCTCAGGGCTTGGGTTCTTCAACCCCAACTCCAATCCCTATAGTCCCCCTTAAGTAGATAGAATATGGGGTATATGGGGATCTTTTTGATATTAATGTACCCCACGCTATATTCTATCTACTTGAGGGCGAGTATGGGGATCTCACTGTGATATACCCCAAGCCATATTCTATCGATTTGAGGGGGACTATACACACTAAACTTCGCCATGTGAGCTATAGTCTAAAGTCCTCATCGGGGTGTTATATATAGAGGGTATATAAGGGAGCACTACAGGGATTATTGAGGGGGATGCTAGGAGGGGATGCTAGGAGTTTAGACTATGGCTCATGTAGCCACAAACCGGCAAGGTTAGCTTTGCTGTGGAGTTGCTTTGGAACATGTACTCATTCTGGCTGCGGCGATTCTGGCAACTTGACTTGCATTAAGGTATATTGGGATTATATTGGGTTCTGTTGGGCTTTTTTAGGGGTTTAGTTGTTTTTTTATTGTATGGAAAGGGAGGGGTGCGTCGGGTATAGATGACATGCATTGATCAGTTCTGGGGGAGTTTTGGTACAGGGGTTCAGGACAGGGCCTAAAGCGAAGCGTGGCCACCGTGCGGAGACAAAGGGGGTCCCTTTGGATGACCTTTTCGAGGTTCTTTAGAGACTTTAGAGAATGTGCCAAATATCTGGGCCACCAGGATTAGTTCCTATATGGTAGGGACGCCGCATTAAGATTCAAATCTTGGGCACATGCCAATCTCATGTCGTGCAGTATTGTTGAGAATAAGGGCCATGAGGGTCGCGGTAAGCCGGTAAGCATTATGATGTTGATGCAGCAATTTTGCCTGCGGAGCACGCTGTATAAGTATAAGTACTGCACAAGCCTAATGATACCGCACAATCTGAAGGCTGCGCATGGCACCCACTTCCGGATGCAAGATGCAGTCTGTTGCGCCGCAAGGAAATCAGCCTGGAACGTGTTTGATGTCATCGTCGTCACTATCGGACCCCGTTTTCAGCCGCTCATGACAGCCAAGTAGGCAGAGATATTTGACTTCTCGATTTTCTTTTTGGAAAAATGCTTAGACCGCATTTCTGCACTTGTAGCATTCTGACCGCTAGTGCTGCTACAGTTATTACGAGTCATTGTTGCATTTCCGTGGAAGCAGCGCCTGTGCTTGTCGTAAGGACCCTCACTCCCCCCAGACCCTCCTCTGGGTTGCTGTAAAGGACCTTAACCCAAGTTACCATACCAGGCATATATATATATATATGGATTAAGGGTTTCCCCAAAACTTGAATTAAGTCCCTTTCGCTGCCGCCCGAGCGGGTGTCGAAGCCGCAGCAGCAACCCAGTTGAAGGACTCATGAACCTCGTGCTGAGCGACCTTCCGGGCCCGCTAAGTCTGCTCAGCTGGGAGCCAAGTCTCCCTATGACTTCTCCTCGGGTATATCCCTAACTCCCTGGTGCTTAGGAGGGAATGGGGGAACGGATCATGGGGATTCTATCGGGATTACAATGGGAATCCATTCCCCCATTCCCTACCAAGCACCAGGAAGTTAAGGATTCAAGTTGGGGTTCCAATAACGAATCTCTTTCTGGGGGGTCCCTACAATGAAGCTACAGCATTTTGCGAAACATGGCGGGGGGAACCTGTTTATGGAAACCCAGGTCCCTAGATTCCTGACCCAAAGCACTTGAATGGGACGCCTAGATACCTGGATCCAGTATGAACCCTGAGCCTTTAAATCGCGCTGAGGGTTCAAGTTTCGAGCTTAAGGCTTTTTTGTGGTGAGTCGATCTTTAGGATTTGGGTGTAGTGAACGGGGACTAGACTGTCGAGATGAAATTCTAAGGTGCAGGGTCACGAGGGTGAGTGGTTGAGGTGGGATGGTATTCTGGTTTTGGTGCTAAAGCAGAATTGTTTTGAACAGTACTGAAGCAAAGTAGGCGGTCTGACATACGGAGGCCTTCGTGACTTCGTGTTTAGCGGGAGGCTAAATTTGAGGAATGCCAGACTGCCCTCAGCAGGAAAAGTTGAGAGAACCACTGTCAACTTGATTGCATCTTAATGCTCCGTTTGACAGAACACGCGTTTTGCCATCCTTGTCTCGAACCGTGCTCTGCTGATACCTCTGCACTTTGAACCTTCAGCTTTTCTTTTTCCCAGGAATGATGCGGGCTTCTTGGCAGCAAGTCGGCCGATTCTGTGTGGCCCTTGCGCGCAGGGCAGTCTGAAGCCTAAAAGGTTCACGGGCGGGCCAAGGGTTTAGGGAAGCCTTTTGCCAGTTCTGCCTGTTCCATATTATGGTCTTATCATGAGCTAATTGTTTATGCCAGGCTTAGGTTGCTTCTTCCATTTCACCATAGATGCTCCCTGCGGGTACAGGCCTTCCGCGTGTTTCGGCTCTTCAAGCGCGTGGAGTCGGTCCCTCAGAAGCTCCTGAACATGTGGGCATGTTTGGAATAGGGTTGGGAATAGCATTCTGCGTTTTGTCCAAAGAACCACCTAGAATGGTGTCCATCCAAAGGAGGGTATAGTCTAATAGTAGAGTTTGGGTACATACCCGCCGTCATCAACTTGGTAAGTTTGACTGACCGACCCCTCTGTTTGAACAGGAAGTCCAAGTTGTAAGCAGGTTGTACCGCACAGTGCCTGATATCTGTTATGACTTGGTCTCCATATTTTCAAGGAAAACACAAGTGGCTTATGTAATTCTTGCAATGCCGAGGTCGCTGCACAAGATTATGAAGTCCCTGTCGAAGGCCATACCCGGTGTGGCCAACGCGTGCTCTGGCAAATCCTGGCAAGCTTAGGTGGCATTGGACATTTTTTTGGGCAAGCATACTTGGAAGGGACTATGTGGTAGTTTCCATACCAAGGCGGATCGAAATATAGACCCCAAAAAATCCAGATATATCTCTCTATATGCATATATAGTCGCCCTTCAGTAGATAGAGTATGGCTTTGTGTACATTGTAATAAGATCCCCACATAATCCCCAGATTCTATCTACTTAAGGGCGACTATATGTTCCTGATTAGGGACTCCCAAACAAAGCCGGTGGAGGAAGGTATGTAAGGCAAACTGGGCAGGATTCTCCATGCGCTGTAGGGTTCAGGGTTTATGGGGGTGTTATGGTTTGAGTGATTCGCTTTATGACATGGGGGTTGCCAACAATTGGGGATATCATTTTGGGGGTGACGGAATAAGGCTGATGGTATGTTGGGTTCTATATTGGGGTCGGGTCCCCTTATTTTATTTTTTTTGGAAAATTGCCACATTCCTCAGAAGATCATAACGGAAGAAGGTCTCCGGATAAGTGAGATCTGCCTACAACTTTGAGATATGCACTGGGAAGCTGCTGCAGCTGCTACAGGACATTGCAGGACCGTTCCTGTTAAGGAAGAATCCTGACATTTGTGAGGGATACGTAAGATGACCAGAATGTTGAGACACGCACCTGACTTCAACTGAGGTTTCTGATTCTGCTGCTCGTCATGTCGATCTATGCCATATTAGGCGGACACAAAAAGTTTTACCCTGCCGTGCTTGGTACTAACATCCTAAACCCGCAATCGCTTGCAAGCTTTGCTTGGTTGTTGCGAGGCGTGGAGTTCTTTGGGACCTATGCCAACGGTGGCAACTACACCAATGAGTGGCCTGACAACCGACGGTCGCAGCGTGCAGTATAACTGAGAGGGGTTATTGAGAGCTGTTCTGGTTGCGTTGTCGCTGTACTTGCTGTAGTTTTGCTGTTATTGCGTGTCCTCTTCTTCTGCGTTCCAGTCGTGCTCCTGGCTATGTTCTGAACCACAAGTTCTGTGCACCACCTCATTTTGGCCATTTGTCTTATCGCTGTTGTGGGAAATTCCATTTACCTGAGGCTTGGTGAAGTTGTGGAGATCATCACAGCCAGGGCTGCTTGTTTGAATTCAAAACCCTACTAGCCCCTGAACCTGTAGCACAGCCCTGTTTCATCCCGCTGCTTAAATCACGTTGTGACATGTCACAAGGAGCTGCCATTTGGCGACGAGAACTTTGGCAACTTTCACCGATCTCTCTTCACCATGTTTCAGGTGCTCACAGGCCTGCCTGTAGTTTGAAAGTAAGGACAAGGCGCTTGGTAAGCAGTTCTCAGCAATCCTGTTTGTGGTTCTTTGTAGCATGATACTCTGAAAAGTTCACAACCCGTCATTTGAAACCCATGTGAAGCCGATGCCGTCAATCTAGTCGCCTGAAGTACGAATCAGGGATTTCCCATAGTGTCCCGTGTAATCAGTACTCACCTCCAGTATACTAAGCTCCAAAAAGTTGCTTGCAGAATTTAAGTCTAAAACCCCACCACTAGCGCTTGGAAGGCGAGTCTTGGTCGGAGGTGGTTGCGCGACCCTTGCTGCACACCACGGACCTCACGCAGGAGGGGCATTTTGGGTTTGAGCTTTGTGGGATGTAGGATTATGTAGCCTTTTCGCAGCTTGTTCTGACATCTTATAGTCCGGGTGCCGATCTCTAGGAAGTCCCCATGAAGTAAATCTTGGTGTTGCCTGTGCGAGGCAGCGGGTGTCTTGGCTGCAAATCTGCCATGGGGCGGCTCGAGAGTTTTGAATGCATAAGAGGTATCCGGATGATCCCTCCTTTATCCACATAATTAAGTAGATCCCATGGCCATCTCCATTTTAGAGACCCAAACCCTAAACCCCTCCTTGTGGCCCAAATTCAGATAGCTTGCCTGTGCCAAGGTGTCTCGTTCTTCTTTATCTCCTTCAACCTGGTGAATGGCGCCTGGGGCAGCAGGCTTATGACATGTAGGGCGGGCTTCGCCCATAGCTTACTATAGTATATCACAACGTATTGTAGGTTATGGGTTATGGTCCCCTATATACCCTAAACCCCCTAATTTTCAGGCAGCTTGGTTTTCCAGCCTTGGCAAGAACACGTCAGTGATTGCAGACCATTTGAGGAGTTGTGCTCATCAACGTCGTGATAGCGGTGCTGCTTGAGAAGATGGTGGATGATGAGGCGCAGATGCCAGTTCCCTTTTGGCAGGTTCTTCAAGGGTTTAGGGTTTAGGGGTGGGGCACGTTTTTGAGGGCCATTGTGCAGGGAAGCCACGTGATGTGGATCATACCTACTGAGGACCTGCCTTCAAAGACTTCCCTGGGCTTGTCCACAGACATTGCATTTGCACCTGCAAGCCGACAAAGCTGTTTGCTTGCTAAGAAGCACGAAGCGCCGGGCGAAGAAGCAGAAGAAGATCAAGAGGCAGCATGCGCCGCCAAACAGTACTGGTATTGCTATGCCCACACACAGCATGTCATCCTGACTATTTGGGCTTTAGATCGCTACCGTCTTATCCTGATTAATCATAGGTATGGCCTTGGCTGCTCTTACCTGGTGTGGCATTGCTGTTGACTGGTTGCTTCGGGGATTTCCCCAACATCCCCCTGAGAGGTATGTGAATCCGTCTCCGACTTTCAGGATCGCGTGGTGGCCTTGCATAGCTTTCACTTGGATGAGAGCGCCCCGGCTGCACGTGTTTGCAAGCGGCTGGCACAGTGGTACTGACGAGATGATTCAGTACTGTAGCACGCGCTAACAACAGCAGAATCAACTAGATGCAAAACACAAGACCTATTAGTTGTGGGCATCATGGTCATAGTAGTAAGGGGTCTTCCCGACCATAGTAAGCAGAGCGGCAATGCGTCATGGCATTTTGGACACAATATCTGCAGGCGTAGCTTTACCAGGATCACAGAATTTTGAGAAGCAAGGTCCCTATGCAAGAAAACCTTACCCCTAGCAATGACGTAGGCATATGGGAATCTTCAACGAAAGTCCTTCACGGTGACCTTATCATCACTGTTTCAAGGTCATGCATCTATATGATCCTCCCATCTCCGCCAAAAAACAAAAAACAATGGGGTTCCACCCTAAACCCTAAATCCTAAACCCTAAACCCTATTCCTCCCTTTTTTTTGGAGTTTGCCTTTGGCTGGGAGGTGCAGAGTTCGAGCCGAAGAAGCTCGAGCCAAAGAAGGCTGCGGCATCATCAATTTTCAGAATATTGGTAATTATTCCTAAGCGAAAATGAAATGGAAACTACTATTTAGGGTTTAGGGCCTACACCCTAAACCCGAAGAGTAGTTTCCATTTTATTTTCCATTATCCATATTGGTAATTGTCACTAGCTGCGCTACTGCCGCGACGATGACGATTCCTCCTCCTACTCCGACTTCCACTTCTACTCCTACCGTCCTACCCTTGCAACTCCTACTCCTACTATTTCTTCTACGACTACCACTACAACTGCTGC